GATGATGCCAACAAAAATAACTACAATAACATAACGGTGCTAATGATTATATGATGAGATTCGTCAAAATAATCTGACAACATTATTATGATGCCAATGACCAATGCACAATGCAAAATTAAGTAAAAGAATTGTCACAAACCTTGACCGTTATATATTATCACTACATATAAAGCAACACTTATTTTGAAGTAGACAATTAGCAGTAAATCACGTGACACTTTGTAAGTAGGTCACGTGAAACTGGAATGGAATGCGGGCGTCAGAGAAAAGAGAAAAAAAGGAGAAAAGAGCAATAAAGAAGATATAGGAGAAAATAGGAAAGGGATAATTGAGAAAATAGGAAAGAAGTAATAGAGAAATGGGATGAGAAAAGAAAAAGAGAAATGAGTGATAAAGAGGAAATAAGAGAGGAAAGGAAAGAAGCAACAGAGAAGTGAGATGGGAAAAGTGAAAAGAGCGATAATAATGGAAATAAGAGGGAAAAAGAAAAAGGTAATAGAGAAATGAGATGAGAAAAGAGAAAATATTAATAAAGAAGAAATAAGAGATAGGAAAGGAGTAACAGAGAAGAGAGATGAGATAGGAGATAGATAGGATAGAAGGCATAACAGAGAGAGGAGAAACTAGAAAGGAAGAATGATAGAAACTAGAAATGAAAGAGTAATTAGAAGAACCGAAAAAAATACGTGAGAGAAATAGACAAGCAGAATGGAATAATAAAGACATAATTATAAAAATAAATAGATAAAATGCAAGATAAAAAAGACGAAGATGAAATAGAAATACAGAAAAAAAAAAAAATAGGTAAAATAGAAGATATCGCAGAGAAATTAATGAAAACGACACAAATAAAAATCGATAGAAAAAAATAGAAGGCATGACAGAAAAAGGAATAATAAAGACAAACAATAAAAATGGACAGATAAAATGGAATATTGGACAAGTGAAATATAAACCATAGAATGTATCGTGCGAGTGGAAAAGATGATGATGGTTCGTGATAATTGAATAAACAGGAGCCAGGGAAACATGAGACAGGAATTAGAATGGCAGTTGTAAAAAACAGCTGATCCACGTGACTGTCTGTCGGATGAATGAAATTTAATGAATGGAAGCGATTTGGGGTAGCGTAGATTGTGCGATGTCGGGTGTCTATTTTTGTTTTTTTTTTCTTCCTTTTTTCTTGTTATATGTATTTGTATGTATGTATATATACGATTACAGATAGACACATGCACATACAAACACATAAACATACAGACACATACACATACAGACGCATAAACATACAGATACACACATACAGACACAGAAACATAACATACAGACACATACACATACAGACATACATATACAGCCACATACACGCACCTACGTAGATACCTATCTATGATAGATGAGTATAGCTAAGCTTTCCTGTTCTCTCTCTTGTCTATTCTTTCCTCTCTTGTTCTTGTTATGCATGTATACATAGCATTTGATATATATATATATATATATATATAATATTATATATATATATATATATATATATATATATATATATATATAATATATATTATATATATATATATATCCAAGATATACATACGCAAATATTTCAGTTGTATAAAAAAGGTCCTATATGTATTTACTTTTAAAAAACGAAATTTTCCCCATGAATCATAAATGAAACATCCTCACATTGCGACAATAATTAGTGGAAAAATACATTAATCTTAAAACGGTATCTTTAAAGTGAAACTCATAAAAAAATCACTACTCAGTTTGCAAAACAGTATCTTAAAACGGTATATTTAAAGTGAAACTTATAAAGAATAATAAAATAAAATAAAAGTAAAATTAAAAAAACAAAACATAATCACTCAACTTGTTAAGTCCATTGTTTTGAGAGTACAACAATTCTCATTTTCTTTAATCGCCACGCTGTCCATTCCCATTTTCTGTTGAATCTTTGCTACAAGCATAAATATTCAATTTTACGAGAATTCCTTAATTCGGCAAGGACTCTCGCTAAGTAATTATTCATTTTAGATTAATAATGATCAGTAAATAGTGAGAAATGTTTGTATACTCATTTTATGTCTGGAAGTTTGCATGAGATTAGTATTATGTTCAATAACGTTTCTTCTTCATTTTAGGAAAACAGTGCATTATCTTTTATGAGTTCAATAATGCAGAATAATGAATATATATTGCTTTTGTTATTATGAACTCTCTCTCAGCCTAAATTAATGAACAGTGCTAAATTATTTCCATGGATCGTGATTATAAACCTCTAGTGTTTATCCTAAATCTGTGAACGGCGGAAAATCATTACTATAACTTAACTTCACTTAAACAACTTTTCTCGTCCTTAATCTTTAAGCACGGAAAAATTATGATTTTAAAAATCTCTATCATTAACCTTCTCATTCGCTCAAACCCTTCAAACACCACAAAATAATTATAACTAATTACCACCCTCATTAAACCTTTATTTCACCCTAAATCTTCGGCCAAAGTGAAAATCATTCCCCGGCGCTCGAACATACCATTCTACCCTTCCCGAGACACATATAATCTCATGATTACAATGATGGCGGACCTTTCTTGAAATATTCAAACCTTCATCAACAAAGACACGAATATTTCCTGATACTAATTACCTGACAGAGCATTCCCGGGGTTGTCTGTGGTTGACATGCGTGTCGGATAAGAAGGTTTCCGAACGGGCTGCTGATAGGTGCATGATCCTCTCTTGTGGGATCGAAACCCCTTTTCCAGATTGTCCTTGACCTGCTGAGCAAACATTTGGGTATTTATAGTTTTCGCTGGGAGAATTTCTTTTACTTCTTCTTAATTTTATTATGATGTGAGATATGTAACGATTACATAAGGGAACGAATAACATTGTGGAAATTTGTTATGATTGTCATATTATCCTGTTATTTCTTAACCTTCTTTTCCCTTTCCCCTCATTCTCCTCTCCCTCTCTGTCTTGTTTCTTTCTCATTCTTCTGCTTGTCTTATCCTTAGTGTTGGTACTCTTTCTTTTTCTCGTTTTCATTACCTCTACTTCTATGTCCTCTTCCTCTCTTTTTCTGCTTCAATTTGTTGTTCTTTCTTTCATTATTTCTTCTCTTGCTATCCTTATTTACCTTCTATTTTTTCTTCTTCCTTTTTCTCCTTCTATTTCTTCTTCCTCTTTTTTTCTCCTTCTATTTCTTTCATGTTTTCTTCTTCCTCCTCTCCTTATTCTCTCTTCTATTTCTTCATTTCCTGTTGTCCTCTTATTCCTCTTTTTCTTCTTTTTTTCTTTTCTTCCGTTTTTTTTTTTTTGCATTCCTCCGCCATTATGTCTCCTTCGTTTTATATTTCCATTTTATTAATCTTCTATTATCTACTGTACATAAATTACAGTCCAATATATACAAAAAAAAAGAAGAAAAAACTGAGGTTTACGAAAGATAACGAAAAATAACCTGATAATAATAATGATGACGATGGTGACGAAAGAAATGATACTAATGACGATAAAGATAATAACAGTAATTCTAATCATAATGAGAATGGATACTGAAATAATAAGAATGTTTACTGAAACCAATCCCTGATTTTCAATAGGCACGTTTCCCGCGCTTTTCCATCCCCCGTAAAAAAAAAATGGGATGGAAAAGCCATTTACGTACTAAAACAATAAAAAAAATATATCATCCTCTCACATCTAGTACCATACATACCTTTGTCTCCAGTGCGCGTCGTTATATCCATCACTGAATGAATATTAATGTTATTGTCCGTCGACCACGTGCCGACGGGTTTGTTTACACACGCAAGATGGCGGGCGAGTAATATTTCGTTATTAGGTAGAGACTGTAGGTAATGTGTGTGTATGTGCGTCTGTTTGTTTGTAAGAAAGGTAATGATGATATTGATGATGATGATGGTAAATAATGACAACAACAGTAAATAATAATTTTTAGTGTTAATAATTTATAATGATAATAATAATGGTAATAATGATGATGATTATGGTCATCATCATCATAAGGATGATAATAGTAATAATGACAATAATAATGGTGATAACAATGATAATAATAATAATAAATAAATAATATAATAATAAATAATAATAATAATGATCAACAACAACAATAATAATAATAATAACAGCAAATGATGAATAATAATAATTATCATTTATATCATAACATTAATAAGAACTTAACTAAGCACAGCCCCACCGCCTCCCGCGTCCCAGACTAACCCCGCTGTCTCCGCAGGCGTGGCGGCGCAGCGCACGGGCGGCCTCCTCAAGCCCAGCGGCGACCGGCCCATCGGCGTCACGCCCCCCTCGGGCAACGGCAACCGCGTGGACAACACCCGCCCCCTCCTGCAGCCCTTCAACGGCAACGTCTACAACTCGCACTCGAGCAGCAGCAAGCGCCCTCCGCCCGGGGCCGACCTGGGCCCCTCCCAGGGCTCCTTCCAGAGCTCCTTCCAGGAGTACCCGCAGGGCTCGTACCCGGGCTCGTTCCAGGGCTCGGCCCAGGGGCCTCCGTCATCGCAGGGGCAGGGCCACTCCTTCCAGTTCCAGAGCACGGGCACCAGCGGCTCGGGCGGGGTCACCAAGACGCCCTCGGGGGTCGATGTGGGCGGTTCGAAGGACAAGTCGCCTCCCGTCGCAGGATTCACGAACGCGGCGCAGGGCGCCTCCTCGGGCGGCAGGCCTCCTCAGGAGGCGCCTCGTCGGGGGGCCGCCCGACGGGCCGCCCTCCGACTCCGCCCTCGCCTCGTCCTCGGCCGCCGCAGGAAGCCCGCCCAAGAACGGCAACAAGGGGGAGGCCAACCTGAGCCTGGGGGGCTTCGGCGGCGCCTTCGGGCTGGGCGGCAAGGACAAGGTCAGCGCGGCGGCGCAGGAGGGTTCGGACCCCAGCAAGGACGCCGGCGCGAAGCCCTCGAACCCCTCGTCGCGCGGCAAGAACGCAGGTACGAGAACCTCCCCCAGTTCC